GTATTTATTTATCTTAAATTTTTTTTTACGTTAATAAACTTTAATTATTTAATTACTATTATTTCATCAATATTAACTTATTTTATTGTGTTGGTCAATTTCACCAACCTCATAACCATCATAAAAATTAGGAAATAAATCTAAGTTACCTTTATTTTGTTCTATAATAACTGTTAATTGTAACAGGAAACTACAAATGTTTATTCTAAATAGCTTAAATCTCATAACAGTATACATCTGTTTATATTTATTATTTTTTTGTTTTATTGACCTTTGAACTGGGTCTGACTAAAAATACCCTGACACAAATACCCTGCAGCTCACATTACTGTATCAAATATTTTTTTCGTTATCTTACCTGATAAGTTTCTATTTTTATTAGTTTATTTACTTTCATAATGATAAATAAAGAGAATGAATGAAAAACATATAATCTCGTAATCAAATATCAAAGACTCTTTCATTAAAACTTTATATTTTATCCCTTATTTACTCTACTGTAACATTATACTTGATTCTCCAGGTTGTATAATGAAAATAAAGGTTGCAGTAAGCAAAATAAAATGTATAGTATTGTTAGTATTCAAAGAGTTTATACTTCTCACCTTTTTATATTTATTTTCTGTAGTAATTTTATTGTTTGGAGCTAACTTAGAAACTAGATGAAACAAAATAAATAGTACTTTCTGTCCCTTTTCAATATGGATCAGGAAGTTCCAAAGTAAATCACCTGAGAGTTTCTTCTAGTCTTTTCACACCTATTTCATATCTTTATTCTACTGTTAGTGGCTGAAGTAGAAACCTTCTGAACATAAAGCAATGAATCACCACTCCTTACTTAGTTTGATACCATCAATATCAAATTAGCTCAAGTGATGCAATTCCCAGAACATTCCCTGGTTTGAAAACATAGTGGGGTAAAATTCATCAACTTGTCGACAGTATAATTGTTACAGTTACAATTGTCTAAAGTATTATGAAATTTTTATGTTATGACTTTAAAGAAAGTCCAGGTCAATCCAATAAAGCGATAAGCAGATATATCCTACAGAAACTATTTGAATTCTGATTCTGAGAACACTGTGGGGTAGAATTTTCCAGCTTCTTTGAAGTACAGTGGTTGCCACAAGAATTGTCTAAAGTACTTTATAAAAGTGAAAGAAAATGTTTATGATATGGCTCTGTACAAAGTTGTATCTGATCCAATAACCTTGAGTGGGCTGGATTTATGTGTAAAATAGGTGAGAAAGTGCTTATGAACATCCTGTTTCCTATTTTACCAGGCTTACACAGTAACCAATAAATGTGTAGTTTCCAATATTTTGTAAGGAACAGTGAGGTTTTGGTTACCATACATTACATATGTATATATATATATATATTATTACTGTTTGCAAATAAATATTTAAGTTTCATTTATTTTTCTTAAAACATATCACAGTAAATTAACAATATTTGGAAAACAATGATCTCCAATACTTACGATGTTTTGAACTTCTTTTTTGCACTTGTGAGTCGTACTTGCTAACCCTCATTGTAAGCCTTGTCCAAATTCACATGTCGATGTACGAAAAATAATTTTTGTAGACTTTGTATATACATTTTTGAATACCAAAAAATTATAAATGACAATACTGATACAACAAAAATCTATTGTAATTTACCAGGCTCTTTAACTATGTTGTATTTGGGTCTAAAAAAATCTAATTTCTGTTCAGAAGATAGCATTGATGATAATACTTCAAAATCTCCAACAATATAAGAGCTTTTCTCTCATAAATAACTCAGAAAAACTAACAGACTTACGTAGAGGATATGTAGAGCTTTTGAGTGGTTATAAATTTATAGGTATAAAAAAGCAGACATAGATAAACAAGTCTTCTCAAATGAGTGAAGTGGTGGGCAGAGCCAATGTGGTCGATTTATTAGATATTTTGATATCTCAGCAAATAGAAAAGGTAGGAGGTTCTTATTTTTTATTCTAGCTTGCCAATATTGGAAATTTGACTTTATAATTTCTATTAAACTATAGACATCATATTATTGGAGTCATAAAGTGTAATTTGACCAAACTGAAAAGATGACGTACCAGTGTGATACACGAAAATTTATATTTAGCTTTTTTTATATATATTTACTTTCATATTAAGAAATTAACTAATGTAGGATACTAAAATTTTAATTAAAATCTACAGTTTGATAATAACAAGTTTATTTACATACATTCTTAAAATAGTAGTTCAATAAAATTTTGAATCTAAGTCTACAAATGTGATGACATGCTGTCTGACCCCTAGCTACCTGTAACAATAGGGTTAATAAGAACCATGTTGGATGTGTAAATTTGCATGTAAACATTATTTCCATCTAATACCACTGTTATAGAGGTGGTTATTTTCAGCAAAATCAAAGGATACATAATGAAATGTGACTTGTATTAATGAATCTGTCAAATTACTTTTTACCTTGACCAATCAAAAAGTTACAAATTGAAGATCCAAGAGTTTACAGTTTAAGTACCTCTGAGATCTTATCCTACACAGATGATCTTAGACAAGTATTATCCTGAATGTAATCAACTAAAAATTCCCTGGTTCAGTTTTTGGACAAATGGTGATTTAATAAATTGGAGAGCAGTGTTGCATAGAATAAATATGAAGTGAGCTATATTTGTCATTTGGAATTAATTGTGATGACATTTTACTTTATTTTTTTGTACTCACAATCTGAGGGTTGCAGATTTGAATCCCCGTCACTGAATACGCTTACCCTTTCAGCCATGGGGACATTATTATGTGAAAGTCAATCACACTATTAATTGGTAAAAAGTTTGTCCAAGAGTTGGCAGTGGGTGGTGTTAACTTACTGCCTTCTCTCTAATCTATCTAAATTAGGGATGGCTGGTGCCATGTAGTTTTGCACAAAACTCAAAACAAAACAAACCTATAGACAGTATATTGTGTATTGCATTTTCTTCTTTTTCATTTTATTATGTACTAGTGAAAGTACCCAGCTTCGTTCGGGGTTTTAGGTTGATTTATTCTGGATGACTATGTCAGTGTGTGTATTCTGAACCCTTTTTAGCATAAAAGTATAACCCATATACTTTTGTTGGACTGGCCTGTTTATAAAGGTAACCTTCCCACTGACTTGTCCTCCAATTTTAAACTTAAATAATAAAAAACAAACCTCTTTAATTAATGAAGCTTCTAAATTAAAAAACAACAAATATTCTTTTTTAATTTTGTAATTTATATGTTTCATTTTATACTTTCAGCACATAGCCTTTTAACAACAATAATAGGTTATTCTTTTACTGCTAAGAAACTTGATATAAAAATCACTGTCTTTTCTATATATTAGAAGTTGTTATATAAGGAACCACTTATTTTTTATGTGGTTTTTTGCTAGATTGTTTCATTAAAAAAATGTGCATGTACATGCTCACGTGGATAAGATAAGTAATACCCAGGTGCACATTCTCAGTATGGGTGTAAAATTTCAGATGTCTAGGTTCTTTCCCCTTGGAGCTGTGGCAGTCACACTTCTTTTCTATGTGTTTTTTTTCCTAGCTTTCCTCATTAAAGAGATGCAAGCACACACATGGATATGTAATAATATCTAGGTGCATACCCTCAGGGTCCACTTAGTATGTGTGCAAAATTTCAGGTTTCTAGGTTCTTTCCTCTTAGAGTTATGGCAGTCACACACCTAGACACACAGACACACTTTTTTATTATTATAGATAATATGCATCATTGTTGCTTTTTTACAATTTAAATTTTAGAAAAGTAGGAAAGTTTCTGAAAATTATAATTAGAGTATGCTTATATGTAATTAAACTTATTTGATTTTCAGAAATGCATTGCTAGTGTATTATATTTTACTTGAATAGAAGTTATTGTAATAAGAATACATTCTTGTATTTTTTATACTAATATATTGTAATTTAAAATCACATTAAGATTTATAAATTAAACCACACAATTTTCTTTACTGTTCCAGTACAGATTTTCTAGTAAGAAGTGTGTATAATAGCATTTCAACTATATCTTATTTGTTGTTTGTCATGGCCAGGGAGGTTCTTTGCTTTGATGTCGAGTGAAGGCCTTGTTGACAGTGGAATGCAACAAAACTTTTGATACAATCTTTTTTCTTTAATTTGAAATATGTATTGGGACTGTAAGTAATAATGTGTGATTTAAATTATTATAAGCTTTGTTGCTATATCATGTCTATTGTGATGTTATTTAAAGTGTTTGTGTACTCTAAAACTTACCATTTTTAATGCAATGTGGTCTGCAAATCTTTCACTTAAAGGTTGAAGAAACATTCCATTACATGGACTTGCAAGCTGTTGAGAGCAGGAATCAAAACCAAGTAAGTGAAAATATACTTCAAGTTTTAGTAAAAAAGCTATCAGTTATTTGAGATTGCTATTAGCGTTATTTTATTTTGTAGCAAATGTATACATAATGCATATATTGGATGCCTCATATTCATGTTGCCAGAATGTACAGCTGAAAGTGTCATGCTTCAGTTTCCTTTTCTGTTTTTGCTTGTAGTTTAGGGACAAATAACATAGACAAAGCAATAAATCTGTCATCAATGAATAACATTTATCTTACAATTTAATATAAATGGCCAGTATCTTATTATTAGCATAATTCCATTGTAGAATTAGAAATTATCTATACTTTGTTGTAGGGTGAAAGAGAAACTACACCACTGAGGATATTTTTAATAATATTAAGTTGTAAAAGCATAGTATTAAGATCTCCTGAAGTAAGTCAAACAATAATATTGACATCAAACTAAACACATGTAACAAAAATTTTTTATAAAATATAAAAAGATTAAAATCTTGCTAAAAAATAAGAAATTAATGTTGTAATAAAACTTCTTTTATTCTTTTAGATATTGTGTTTGTAAATTTTCAGCTTCTTAATTTTACTATTTTTTGTCTCTTCCTTCTTGCATTAATTGATTTTCCTCTCAGGCTAATTTGATGACCAACTACAGGACAAATAAATATTACACAATTCATGAAAATTAGGCCGTACTTGTACAGCAACTTGAAGTATGAAATGTAAACATATATGATAATGACATGAAAGTTGATGTCAAATGATAAAAGAAATTTAAATACGATGTATCAACTTAAATATACTTCAACTTATAACTAAGCTGAAGTAGTTGATAAGAAATGGAAAAAAGAAAACAATTTCTAAAATGGAAAAACCTGTTTGAGACTTAAGAATTTATTTCAATTCAAGGATGTACATAATTTCTAAGAATATGAAGTTTTTGTTACGTTATACTTACAAGTTCACATATTCTTGCCTTGAGAAGAAACATAGTGATAAAATGAGAAAACACACCAATTGTTGCTCATCACTTACTGAATGTAATATGTTGCTATTAAGACAGGTAATTTCAGTATTGTTTAGTAGGCTGAATATATACAGCAGTTAAGAGTTCATAGTAGGTTTAACACTTGCAACTCTGAATTTAGCTCTGAACCAAATATATTGGGTCTTCTGCTTATAATTCAAAGAGAAACAGAATACCCATATTTTCCGTAACAGTTATATTTAGGGCAAATTGATACAGATAATTGAAATAAAGTGTTCATGTAATTATATTATAAATGGGGCATGAAGACACTATCATAAAATAACAATTATTAACATAATAATATTATTATTGGGGTAGGATGGCATACAGATTTAGAATAAGTAGTTTAACCAAAATTCAGTAACCTGAAATAAAAAGTAGGGATTGAATTTAATTTTGGAAATTGTAAAGTCCATTGTACTTGTGAACGTTGTCTGTTTAAAAGTCCATGCAGTTTTCTAGAAGTCTGCAAAATTATGAATATTTATTTCTTAATAATCCATTAGTTTACGAAAACCATTTCCTTGGACAAAGTGTATGGACTAGTGTTTAGTATGCCTGGACATGATTCTGAGGATTCATGTTTCATTGTCAGTTATCACAAAAGTGCTTTCTACATTTGGGACCGTGGGTGTACAATAAGAGTGATGGTCAAATCCCACTGTTCAATCAAACAAAAGTAGTTTCAGAGTATATTCTCTATCCTAACATTAGCCATGTAGAAATGATCAATGTAAAGTGAAATGAAAAGCAGAAAAATATCAGAATTAATATTATAATTTTTTCCTCCATACTGACTGTAGTATTGATCAGAGAGTTCCAAGTTATACATATTAATAGTTTCAACTGTTAATCTTTTCACATTATTGAATTTTATCTTTATGATTTATGATTTTATTGCTGTACTTTGTAAGCACTAGAGCAGTAATCCTTACATCTTAAAGTAATAAATTCCAACAACAACCAAGTAACTGTTTCCCATAAAGCTAATCTAAACAGCACATGATCTGAGTGTCAGTTTCACACCCTCTTGAGGTAGTGAAGTTTAAGTGTTCTGTTTCACTGAAGTTTTGTTACGTTAAGCTGAAAAGTTTATATTTATACTTTTTTACATTTGAGTTGCTTTTGTTGAAAAAAAACAGTAAATAAAACTTCTACATAAAAAAACAAGGATTTGTAGTACTAACTGCATACCTAAGCCATTTGCACTTGAGTAAAAGTACTAGACTTTCGAACCCTAAGCCTCATTGAATCTCACAAATTTGGATGTCTATAAATATATTTTCATGTAGCTTTCGAATATGCATTTTAGACCACAAAAATATATAGGTCACTAGAATAGAATGTTTTACTATAATTTATTGGGCCTTCTGTGTAAGCTATAAATAGGTTGAAAAAATTCTGTTACTGTTTGGAGTACCAAATCTGAAAAACACAAATCCAACAATTCTCTTTGACTAATGGCTTAAAGTGGGAAAACTGCATGTAGAATCATAAGATTTACATAGAGGAGAATCTTTTTTTTCTGCTGGTGATAAACATGTCCATCAGCCATGTAAGGTTGCTTAGCAGACAGTCTTGAAATTCAGAGTGGAGAGGGGCTTCTTTGGTGGGTTTAACAAATTTGTTGATATTTCAGCAAATGAAGAAGGTAGGAGGCTGAATTTTTAGATTCTTACTTGTAATTATTTATAATTTGTGTTTCTGATTGTTTGTGAACTGCATCAATTTTCATGCTAAATTTATTGATATTGTTACGTCTCTGTTTGTTAATTAATTTTCCGTAACTTCGTTCCGACGAAACTTAAGCG